CTCGGGTCAGGGATAACTCGGGTTCCTTTTTCGGGAATCCAAGCCCGAGTTACCCCGGACCCGAGTTACCCCGGATAACTCGGGCGTCCAGAGGCCCCGAATCATCAGGGGTAACTCGGGTCAGGGCTAACTCGGGTTCCTTTTTCGGGAATCCAAACCCGACTTACCCCGGACCCGAGTTACCCCGGATAGCTCGGGCGCCCAACTGAGCATTGGATGCTGATGTTTTTCGGTCGCGACCGTGAGCGGCCAACTGGCACTCGTAATCGGTCGCGACCGATTGGCCGCGACCGATCGGTCGCGACCGATTTTGGAGCAAATCGGTCGCCACGGATACCAACACTTGCAGCAAACCCGGTAGCGACCGTTCTCGTCGGTCGCGACTGGAACATGCCAGTATCCGATGATCAGGGTAGGGGGGGGGACATGCCCAAGGGCGGCGACAGGTTCGAGGGCCGAGGGCGGAGGGTCCCAGACGCTCTCGTCGGTTCCTGGGCGCCTGTCCAGCATCGGGGACGCGCTCCAGCGGCTGCGCGCCGCCGAGGGTGCTCCGGGGTGCTCAGACCGCCCCGCACGGCCAGAGGCCCGAGGTCTGGCGCGGGAGCCGCCAGGGGGCAGGCTCAGTGGGGAGGCATCTGTGCCCCGGCGCTCGTGGATCGCCGAGGGAGGCCCGATGTCCCGGCTCGATCCCGCCCGATCCCAGCTCGATCTCCCGGCTGCTCCCAGCTCGGTTCCCGCTACCTCGAGCCAGTACCCCCCCCACAACGTTGCCCTTCCGCCCCCGGGGCGCTGGCCGAAGTGGCGAGTGCCGGCGCCGCCGCTGCGCGCAGGAAGGGCGCCCGCGCAGACGGCCAGCGCATGCACACTTTTGCAGCTCCGCGCGGACCTCTCGGGTCGGCGCGCTGGAGGCGTCCCTGGCGGCTGGCGGCGCCTCCGGCGCCGCCCCTGAGGGGGTCCATCGGGTCGGGCGAAAGGGGGGGATTGGGAAAGGGGGGGTTACGAAATTTGCTGCATGCAGCTGGCTTCGGCCTCACCGAGCGGCCCATTCCTCGATACATGGCCGCTCCCGGCGCCTGGAGGCGCCGGGAAAATCAGCTACGTGAGCTGATTCTCAAACCCCCCCTTTGCTATCCCCCCCTTTCGCCCGACCCGAGTCCAGCGCCGATCCAGTAAGTCCGCGAGGACTTCCGAAAGATTCCAGTGGAAACCCATGCCACGAAGCACCCTGCTTGCCTCCAGGATGCCCGGCTTTTTGTTCTTGTGGGGGGGTCGACGGTTTTGCAACGGAAAGCGTGACGTTCCCACACCAGCAATGAATGGACGTCCTGGGGTCTGAGGGGTGGGCTTCTTGTAACTTGTGGTCGAGTTCCTACTGTATGTTTATGTATGGTAGGCTCGTGTCGTATGGACGCGGCGTTGACCCCGTCGCGGTTGTTCTTATTTGAGCACCGCCGGGCTACCTAGAGTCGGCCAACATGGAACGGCTGGGCGATGCAGAAGCCGCCGCTCGTTCAAGGCTGAACGATCCGCGCGGTATCAAAACCAAGATCTTTCCATAGCAACTCATGGGAGCCTGGTATACCCTCTTAAATCCGTCTCTAGCGTCGACCAGCGTCGATTAGCGTCTGGGAGTCGATGAGGTAGCGCCAAGGTAATTAGCGTCGGTGAGCGTCGAGTCGCATCGATTTGTCCCCCCCTCAGGCCGCGCCCCGCTGGCAGCACATGGGTGCGCCACCTCCTGCCGCGGGCGCGACGCCGTGGCCGGAGGTTGGGCCGTGGGCGCCGCGCCGCCGCGCGCCCGTCTTTGCCTCGCTTCTTTCCCCCCCGCCCTCGTCGCTGTCGTCGTCGTCGTCGTCGCCGCCGCCGCCGTCGTCGTCGTCGTCGTCGTCGTCGTCGCCGTCATCGTCGTCCCCCTCCTGGGTGAGGAGGAGGAACAGGAACAGGAGGAGGCGGAGGAGGAGGAGGAGGAGGACGAGGGGGAGGAGAGGATTCAGAGTCAGAAGCCAGTGGAGACCAGTTGTCCGAGAGTGGTGCGATATTTGCCAGCCGCCCAGCCTGCAAGATAGTTGGCGCACCAGTTCACAACGTATTCTTCATTTCCGGTGTTGAGTTGGGCCTTCTGGTGGGCCGTCGAATGATTCTTGGTAAGGTCTCGACGCCACTATCACGACTCAGGACGGGCGAGATTTTGGACCTCAGATAGAGTAACGAATTGCTGTCGACTATCTGAGCTCGCAGCTGCTGTGCTCTGACCAATGGCAGGTAAGCAGAAGCGCAGACAACATCACCATGCGTGTGGAAGGTCAACATCAGGAACGCACGCAACTCAGCCCTGGGGCTCGATTGCTCCGACTGGAGCCGTCAAGCTCATTACACGATCCGACTGGTGCCCTCAAGGTCATCGGGCTCCCCCAAGATGCACCATAATCCACCCGCATATCCTCAGCCTCTTGTCAGCAGCATACCTGCCTCCTGAGCCGTCAATCATCGAGGATCAAAGAACCCCTAGCCCTCAGAACAGAGTGAAGACTTGGTCTCACTGAGGGCCCCGTCCTTGCACCAGGGATGGTAGTTGTGTGCGGTCTGGTCTGGTACATCTGCAGAAACAATGACCCAGTCCCTGTACACTTTCTGTCCCCTCCCAACTTCGGTCCCCTCCCAAAGGGTCAGAGGTCCTTCCTTGGTCCATCCGTGATGGCCCCATCTGCCTCCCGTTTGGCACCGGGAGGACGAAGCGGGGCCCCAGGCCCAGACCGGGCCCCGAGGAGGCTGACGTTGCCCACCGTCAGCCTCCGGAGGCGGCGGCCCACGAGTGAGCATGGCCAGCGGCGAGCGCGTTGCTTCCCAGCTCTTTCTCAGTCCCCTTGAGTGAAGAACGAGAACGAGTAGTCTCAGAGAGGATGGGATGAAGAAGAGGTGGCTGACGAGGAGGCGAACGGGAAGGATGCGAAAGCGGGACGAGGAGGAGGATGAGGAGGAGAAACAGGACGAGGATGGGGGAGGACGAGGATAACGATGACGACGACGCCGACGCCGACGACGACGACGACGAGAACGACGACGCTGACGCTAACGACGACGACGACGACGCTGACGCTGACGACGACGACGACGCTGGCGCTGACAAAGACGACGACGGCGACGGCGACGACGACGACGACGACGGCGACGACTGCGGCGGTGGTGGCGGTGGCGGCAGCGGCGGTGGCGGCCGCGGTGACGACGACAACGACGATGACACGGCAGATCTTGGATCTTAAAGGCCACCTCTGGGATCCATTTTGGGGCGTTTTTGCGGCCGTCTTGGAGCTACGTTGGGAGCATTTGGGGCACTCTTGGAGCCTCCTTGGAGCCCTCTTGGAAGCCTTGGGTGCTCTCTTGAGGCCATCACCGATGATATCGAACAATGAAGGGGGGTTCTCAATCAGACCCCCCCCCCCTGGAGCACCCAATGTCGCCTCTTGAAGCCCCTTTGGGGCGCTCTTGGTCACTCTTCACTCTTGGGGCCGTCTTAGGGCCCTTTCAGGCCACTCCCAGGGCTCATCTTGGGCCCAGCGCATCGCAAGCGACAACGCGAGAAGGCAACTTTCGTGTATTTCCATAGTTTTGCTATTTGCTTTTTTGTGTGGTAGTTGTTGGGCTCGCAGGGGCCTTCTTGGTCGTCTTGGGCTTGTCTTGAGGCCGCTGAGATGCATTGTGGAAGCTAGGTGATGCACTGGTATTAGCGTGACTGAGCGCCTCTTGGATCAAACCCTGCATGTCTTGCCCGCCCTCTGGATCTCTCTGAGTATGAGGTGCACACGTTCCCTAGACACAAGGCCCCGTGATCCCAGACTTGGGCTAGCAGTACGAGGGGATCCCTCCTCTCATCCCTTGGCACTTCGAACCTCTTGATCCAAGAGCTCTCCATTCGGGGCCACTCCGCTGTCGAAGCTAGTGCGGACCCAACATCTCTTGCTCCCCCTGAGCCGGTCCCCCCCTAGCCATGCGTGCGGGGTTGATAACTCGGCCGTCCCGGGCCACTCGGGGCGATCCGGGCACCTCAGGAAAGCTCTCGGCGAACGCTCCCGAGATTGGCACACCTCCGAGAACCGACGTCAACGTGCGAATGCCGCGAACCTCTGACGTCGCCTCTGGTCCCCTCCAGCCCGATGCGGCCCGATGCTCGTGTGGCGCGGTCGTGCATCCTGGCGCAGCTGATCCTATCCGATTCCGACTTCGTGCTGATGCGGCCCGATCCGACGAACATTCCGATCTTACCTGGTTTGCCGATTCAATGCCGTGTGACCCTGTATCGTTGCCCTCGCCTTCGGTCGCCTCGAGCCAGCCCCAGACACAAGCAAACGTTGATTTCCATAGACATGCTTGTAAATGGATGGTGAGATCCAGAAGTTATTGTAATGCATCGGGAATCCTGGAATTAGTGCTCAGTTATTTAATCGCTTCGCTCATTCCGCCGGCCCTGGAGCGCTATTTGGGGCCTCTTGGGGCCGTCTTGGGGGCTTCTTGGGGGCTTCTTGGGAGCGTCTTGGGGCTCCTTGGCGGCGTATTGGGCTCCCCTGGGGCCTCTTGGGGGGCTCTTGGGAACCCCTTGTGGCGGGAGGGGAGGTAGTCGTTGGCAGCCCCCCCCTCGGAGGCCACGATCCTCGTGAGGGGTGGCGAAAAATAGCCTCCCCCCTGGGGATCGCCCAGGGGTCAGCCGGGGATCGGCCGGGGTACTTTTCGTCCGGGGCCCCCCAGGGGCCGCCCCGCGCGCGCGAACTAGAGATATTGTTCAGTAGTTACCGGAGATCTTAGCACGCCTCTGGCCCGTTGGGCCAGCGAATTTGTGTCTCCCTGGGCCCATTTGCGATCGTTCGAGAAAGAAATCTGCATTAACGTAAAGTTTCGGAGCTCCGCGCGGACTTCTTAGATCTGCGCTGGGACCCCCTGGCGACGCCTCCGCGCGCCATGGAGGGGTGTCCGGAGCAGATCCAAGGAATCCGTGCAGATCCCCAAGC